GGGGACTGTGCCAAGCTGTCCATTATGTGACTCTGACACGTGCTACGTTTCTTTTTTGCCTTTTGCCTTCCTGGAAATGTTCCAAGATGCACGCCCAGCATTATGGCTCTAATGTCAATGCTACTCCCGACAAGTCCCCCAAGCAGATTGAATGCTGATTGTTTCATTCATACAATGCAAAACCAGCTTAACACCAGCGGCACTCCTATAGTTGGAGGCGCCTTCCAACAACGTCCCCGGGCCAATCATCACTGACATCATCGGAGCCCACCAAACTGAGACTCACCCACACGCGCATGCACTTGCACACACAGCGTCAAAAATCAACAAGTAAGCACGGGGCATACATGCAAGACCGCTTGATCACAAACATATCCAGAGAACACAGCAAACAAAGTCCGATTCTGAACAACGGACTGGATTTCCTCAGAAAAGTCCAGACTCCAGAGTACTTTCACAGCAGAAAACAAAAACGATGCTGCAAAGGTAACGGCTCCCCAAACAAAAGATAAAGAAAAGAAAATGTTCGGTGGTATTCCCTGCTATTTTCTTGCATGCGGGTTTTCGTCTGCTCTCAGGCTCTTCTTTTCTTATTGTGAAAGAAGTGGCATATGATAGGGCAGTTCCTTATGCGTTTTCTTTCTTTTGTGCTTTTTTCTTTTTCTGTTTTTGCGGGCGAAGTCGCAACGGGTCATCTAGTACTATATAATTACGTCAAGTGGACCAATGAGGTTTGTGTAGGGGGAAAACGCAAGCCGGTTCTGTTTCTTGAACTTTTTTCGACACTACGAAGCCCTATTTGCCAGGTAAACGGGGGTTTCATGCAACTGTGCATGGAAAGAATGGGGATTGGTTGGCTGATTGAAAGGGAAAAGGAAAACGACAGGAGACATAGCCTCACCATCATGCCCAAGGCGCAGTTCAATCATAGAGGATATCTAGATCAGTGTACATTCCCCCTTGCTGCAACACACTTTCCAAGCTTTCCCTTTTGTGTAAAGGAAGCCCTAGCCTCTCTCCTAAGGTCGGCCCATAGTAAACTCCACAAGTTCTTATGAGCCTGTGCTTCACACCTCTATGATGTAAGGTTGTTCTTCACGAGCTTGACAAATTCTTCTCTTCGACCCTCAACAAAGTCAAATTCGACATGGAAACTCCCCGTCCAAGACTCAGCGGCAAGGCCATTGTAAGAGCTTCCACTCTTCAAAGAATAAAAATGAACAAGATATGCACAAAATGGGATGATTAGCTCCTTTGTTACCCTTTACTTAAGCTATGATGCTAAGAGGCAGCATGTCTTTAATTGGATTTCCTCTTTTAACTGGATTTTATTCGAAGGATGTGATCTTAGAACTAGTAGCGAACAAGCCATGTATTCCAACTGCAACCCTGTGTAGGGAGTTCATAATCAAAATGTGCAGGCCCAGGCTTTGTTAAAAAAAATAATTGTGTGGTCTGGACTCTGGATTTAATTCTCAGGAAGTACTGGACCCAGTATTGGGGGTGAATCTACCCAAAATCTTTCTTATGCAGGGGGAAATCTAGTCATCTAGTTAAATCTACCCTTGGCAGTAATCGTGAGAAGGTTGATGAGCTGTGATTTGCAGCTACAGTGTATGCAATAATTTATTCAGTGGGAGAAATCAACCCTGATACATCATTGCTATCTTTTGGATGAATATCCTTCCTCCCCTCCCTCTGGAAAAAAAAGAGGAGAAGAAGAGATGAGAGTTAAAAAAAGGGTGGGGGGAAAATGCATGTGCTAAACTGAAAGGTAGGGAACGTGCAGCTGGCAATCTGCAGTTCTATTCCTTATCAGCAGAGTGGCTCGGACAAGTACTAACCATTCGGTGGGAATTGTGCATCCTGTGCTGCAGAGTACTTGTCCGCTTTTGAGCTGAATGCGCAGGCAAAGAGCAAGTCATACCTGAAGCTTCAGAAGCCTTGGAGCAAACCTCTGGAGGTCGAATCAACATATCCAACTTGGGAAGACAATAACGCTCCTTCATTTATGGGCATCCACTGGCTTATTGCAGACGAGCCTAAGTCCATTGATTCAGAAACTTACTTTGCTCTGCAAGTTATTTCAGATCTCATGTGTAACTATGTTATGCTTGCACTGGAAGCCACCAGCGGTTCTCAAGATGAGCCATCATGTGGCATTGATCAGCTCACAACTGTGCAACCATATGCCTACATTGTCGTGGAGGAACCGTCTGCCAATCTCACGAAAAAGGTGAGTGTTTTCTGAGCGCATTTTCTGAACCATAAGCAGTGGATGCACCCTGCTCCGTTATCAGAATCTCATGCATTCAAGTCTCAAGACAATCTGAAGATCAGAATTCTACTGTCATTACCCACAGGCTGGAATTGGGGAGGGGGGACGGGAGGGTGGGGGGATGTGATAAAAATGTTAAAAAAAGAAGTTAAAATGAAAGGATTTCACCGCTATCAAGCCTATGGTAGTCCGAGTTCCAGTCCTAGTCCCAGTCCTGGTCACCTGTACCACATTCCCTTGTCCCTGGTAGGTTGGCTGTCACAGCCTGTCCGTAGGCCAATGTAGGAAGGTTCCCGTAGATTTAAGAAAGGTCCATATGCCCCTTTTGTCAGTTTGTCCAGTCAGCAGCACAGTCCCTGGAAGTCCATAAACTTCTGGAAGAGGCAAACAATGGCAGGGCTACAGGCCCATAACCGGGCGAAGAAGTGTGGAAGGCGAACCGTCAGGTACACCAGTCCAGTTGTTGAAGTCGTCAACGCATATCCATTTGCATGACCACCCGGAAGCGCTGCTGCGATATTTGGGATTCACTGTTGGGCGCTGAGCTGCGGGAGTGCTCAACGAAACTGGGTGCCAGTAGCCATAGCTAGGTTGAGTGTCTGAGGGAGGGAGAGACATCAAGGGGTATTCAGAGGGACGTGAGACCTTAGAGGGAGAAGAGCGAGGTGAAAGGGAGAGTGAGACTTCACCTGAGAGAGCTTGCCTGGCAGCCATAGGCGCCCATCTTGTACAAAGACAATTTTGTAAAATTTAGTTCATTGGCTGAGTCTCTCTTCGAGTTTCATCTCGCGTGTGTTCTTGTGTTTGCGTCCCATGGTGTGAGCATGGTGTGAAAGTGTTGTGCATGGCTGGTCTCAAAGCAGTTAGTATCAGAGCAGACTATCATTACCTCTCAGACAGGCGCATGAGTGGGGAACCAGACTCTTGTTACATCTCAGACAGGTGCACGAGTGGGGAACCGGTGTACAAGCTGTAAGGCCGACAGACAAGGAAGAAGGGCAAACAGTGAAGAAGGTCAGGGTTAGGCTGAAGACAGGTGCACGAGTGGGGAACCAGTGTGCAAGGTGTAAGGCTTGAGGAAAAATACTCACCTAGCTGCTGCAACTGGAAGTGATAGTGGAGCATCATCATTGAGCTATTGCAGTGAAGGACTGTGAATCACCTTTTTACCCTAGCCATGTATGTTGTCAATGCCGCATGAATGTTTGCTTGTCTTGTCCTTGACGACTTTGCTGCTGGTCGTCTTAGGTCCTAGGTCGGTTAGGAGGTGATGCATGTTGTACATAGAAAGGGTCAACCTGCCGAAGGCGAAGGATGTAAAGTAGGTGCACGGGCATGAGCGGTGGGAACCCATTAACATGTCTAGCCCTAAGACTGGTACTGACCAGCGTGCAGTGAACCACGTTAGCAAGAGTATTCACAGGTTACTGTTAACGGGAAGTGTTGTGCGACATTAAATTTTTCGTGAGGACTGTGTGGCCTGCCCTTAAAGCTGGTTGTTGGCTTATCAACGGGTGTCCTTCATAACACGATAGTGAATGTCAAGTGTTGACACTCCGGGCAAAAGGGTAAAGTCAACGAATTTTAGGTCTTCTAGTTGGTAGGTGTACATGATGAGGTAGTGGAACGGTCAAGTTGTGACGGACTGTTGTGCCAGCAACTGCTGTGGATAACTGCCAGATGTTTGCAACTGTCGTGGATAACTTTGCATGTATCGCCCTCTCTATTCTTCTCCAATCCTTGCTTCATTTGCTCTTTTCTCCGGGGTTCTCTCACATGGGCTGGTCCCATGTGAGGATGCGGAGCAGATGGGAGGTCCTTGTAGATGGACATCCAGGCTATGAGGAGTTCATGCAGGAAATGGAGGAGATGAGGAGCACGAGAAAAGAAAAAGGAGGAAGAAGAAAGAGGAGAAGAAAGAAAGACAAGGTGGAGGAGATCCAGGCTATGAGGAGTTCATATAGGAAGTGGAGGAGATAAGAAGGAAGAAAAAGAAAGAAAGGGAGAAGAAGCAAGAGCAAAAGAAAGAAAGAGGACAACAGAGGAGGAAAAAACTGAAGGGAAAGAATAAGGAAGAAAAAGAAAGCAAGGGAGAAGAAGCAAGAGCAAAAGAAAGAAAGAGGAAAACGGAGGAGGAAAAAACTGAAGGGAAAGGAGGACTGGCAAAGGTGAAGGAAGAGCTTGTAACTGAAGAGGACAGAGGAAGTGCAGGAAGAAGCAAGCGGGAAGTAGGAAGAGACAGCGCTGCCTGGAGAAGAGAGGGAGATGCAAGAGGAAGAAAGGAAGGAGATGGAGGGAAGGTTGGATGAGGAGCTGGCACAACACTTCGTGCATCCTGCTTACAGCCCTGAAACGCAAAGCAAAGAAGAAGAGCGGGTAGCCGAGGATAGCAGCCAGACTAACGCACAGATCAGTGATTTGAGAACTAAGCTGCAGCAGGCCGAGAAGAGGAAGGAGTTGGAGAAGCAACAGAAAATGGCGACTGACTCGGCGCTGAGACTAAAGCCCTGCGCACCAACCTTAGACCAAAGATAGCAGCATGCCACCATAGCCACCACAGCCCCAAATAATGCTGAGAGCATTGACACCGTGCAAGCATAAGTCCGCAAACATCACGACGAGCAGTGGAGAGAGACAAAAAGACAGTTTGACGTGTTGAGAAAAGCAATTGCTGAGTCTCTTGTATAATTCTTTAGCAAGATTACTGAGGACAGCCAAGGGTGTGGTGGAGGTGGATGAGGAGATGGAAATGGAGATGGTAATGGTGGAGGGAAGGGGAGAGACCCGCTGGTGGAGGAGAAGACAACCAACAGGGATATATGAGCAAGATAAAGGTGAAGCTCCCCTTAACTAATCACGGGAGGAAGGATGAAGATCTGCTTGGCTGGGAGGCCACAGTCAGAACATACGTGCACTTGCAAAGGATTGAGGAGGTTAAGATTGTAGCCATCAGTATCCTGATGGAAGGAGATGCGCTGACTTGGCTGCGTTCACAGGCACAGGCAAGCCGGGTTTGAAAGTAACATTACAGCATATTCCCTGCATACCAATTTTGAGGACTTGATGAGGGTGCTAAAGAAGAGGTTTACATATATGAAGCACTCAAAGCCTCTGACGCCATACTCTTTAGAGAGAAGCATCATTGGAACAGTGTAACTTGAAACCTGAAGTAGACGGCTACGAACAGGTACCCAACCACAGTGTAACGGACTCCCAAATCCTTCACCGTTTTTCCCTAGCCCCACTAATACAATTAGAAGTAACTTAGCTGTCGAGGCTAGGCTGATAGGGCAGGCATATGGGACCTTCTCAAAGGCGGCCTTAGAAATGGGGGGGGGGGGTTGCATGAAACCTAACCTGTTCCCCATGTTCAAGGACTTGTCTGAAGGAAAGAAATTTAGGTGAAAGGCCATAGCTTATATGGTGAGGGGCAGATAATCTGCTCCTTACCTACAAAGAACGAGGAGGAGATGTTGTTCCCTACGGAGAGAGAGCTGGGGGATGAAGACGGCAACAGTAGAAGAGATGGAAGAGACAACTACTCTGCACGAGGTGGAAGAGGATGCTGCCCACATCAGATGAACCCCGGTCATTGTGTTGTGAATGGGCCTAATAAAAGGTGGTGTACCTCAGCCATGTAATAGATGGAGATGGTATGAGGCCTGAGGATAAGAAGATAGCTGCATCCAAGACTGGCGGAGACCCAAATATGTGACTGAACTCTGATCCTTCCTAGGCTTGGCTAATCAGTGGATGAAGTTCATCCGAAACTTTGGTATGATTGCAGCCCCACTACGCAGATTGTTGAAAAGGGGCGCAGTGTGGGAAATGGACAGGACTGTGCACCATACTTGCGGCGCACCGGCACTGTGCGCTGCGCGGTGCGCTGTGCATTGCGCTGTCCGCGGACCCAGGGTGGTGCGCGCGCCGCGCATCTGGGTGCGCAGTGCGCTGCGCATGTCTGGTGTGCTGCGCGCATGTGCGCAATGTATATTTCCATGTTCTAGCTGTGGATTCATTTGATTTTGTTCTCTCTCTCTCTCTCTCTCTCTCTCTCTCTCTCTCTCTCTCTC